AAAAAAAAAAAAAAAAAAAGCAAGGGAAAATGGTTAGTCTTTGGATAATTTTCATGAATTTCTGATAGTCTCCTTTCTTTCTTTTCCATGTCTTAAGCCAAAACAGTGGCCCTAATTTTATTCATTGTTCTCTTGGTAATGAAAAGTATAAAAGTCAGGAGTTTAAAAATTGTGTGTATACTGAAATTGGGACTATGTGGTCTGTCTAGTGACATCTGTATTCCTTAGTATAGTTATAGGAAGGTACTTTTAAAAATTTCTATGTTTATCAAATATTAAATCTAAAGAAACGATGTCTCTGAATGGCTCAATTTCTCCTCTTCTAGTCAGCATATTATCCATCAGACTAAAACTGTCATCCTGTTCTAAACCTCCTCTGAGTTTTAATGTTAGTGTGATTTTATATATCCAGACATAAATGTTCAGGTAACAAAATCAGCTCGTAGTTGTGAAATAACTCTCTAGCTAATAGTAGATATCTAGTAGTATTTGTGGACCATATTGTATTCAGTAAATTGAATCTGAGAGTGAAGAACTGTTCTTAACTTACTGTATACTGATGTGGCACTATTGGCTCCTCACAGGAGACTCCTGTGCTTACCAGAATAGAGAAACAGAAGCGCAAAGAGGAGGAAGAAGAACGGCAGATTCTCCTGGCTGTGCAGAAGAAGGAGCAGGAGCAGATGCTGAAGGAAGAGAGGAAACGGGAATTGGAGGAGAAGGTCAAAGCAGTGGAAGGTATGTGGGCTTTTTGCACAAGGTGGTGAAGACCAGCACCTATGCAGCCACGGCTATGTCAAGCTAATTTCCCCCATATATCTGAGTTTATTCTGGCAAAATCTATTTAAATACCATGTGCATTATATTTTTTGTCGTGTTTGTTCATCTGTATCCAATCTCTGCTTTTCTGTTCCTTCTAAAGTACTTGTACTTGTGATTTTTGGTGTGCCTTTCACTGTCTTGCTGATTCTAATTTCTGCTAAGTGCCTAATGTGGAATAGAAAAAATAATAAAAGATACTGATAAGAATTGATTTCACTGATAAAATTTTGGTCACAAGTGAGATATAGTAGTAATCATTGATTTGTAGTAGTCATTGAAGATTTTTCAATTTCTGAAGTGTGTCTATTGTTATTTCTCCTTTATCATTTCTGATAGACAATATTATAAAGCTTTACTTTTCTATTTCTGGTTAGATTGGCCAAAGGTTTATCAGTTTCGTTAATCTTTTCAAAAAAACAACTTTTTATTTTATTGATCTTCTGAATGGTTCTTTTGATTTCAATTTCATTTAATTCTGCCTTAATTTTGGTTATTTCTTTTCTTCTGCTAGGTTTAGGGGGATTGTAATGCTCTTCCTTTTCCAGTTGCTTGAGATGATCTATTAAGTTGTTGGCTTCCTCTCTTTCTGTTTTCTTTTTCTTTTCTTTCCTTTTTTTTTTTTTTTTT